GGTACATTGAACGGATCGCCTTGCCTCGCTCCTCGTGCGTGTTCTTGCAAAAGATCGATCGCTTTGATCGCGCCAAGTGAATCAATCACGCGAGCGGTGTGGCTTCGATTTGTCCTGCCTCGCACTGCGCCCCAGTAGTCGTTGCTGCGTTTGTTTTCGCACACACACACACACACACACGCACGCGAGCAAGCAATTTGGACGCGCCGTTTTTATTTCAGCGCGCGCAGCCACGACTGTGCGCGTTAGTGGAGATGCTAAAAACAAATTTTACGAGTTGAAAACAATGCGAGACTTGACGTGCGCGCGCGAGTCGTACTTGTCGAGACAATTGTTTCACGCTCCGCGAGCGCGGCAATGAATCAATTTTATTTTCATCCGCGTGAATCGACGCTATAAAGCTGAAATCGAAAATTGAATATTCAAAAAAATGTCAAGACAGCAGGCGCGTATAGCCGCGCGAGCTCCGATGTGCTCTCCGAAGCTGCGGGATAATTGAAAAAAGAAGCCGGAGTAGTGCCTCGGCGTGTATTATCAGATGTACTTTTATACGCCCGAAGTGACCTTGTCAATTTAGCGTTGGCTATATTTGAAAAGCATTACATCGGCAGCACAGATCAAACCCGATATATATACGTTATAAGGAGGATACTTTGTTGAAACTGTTAAAAAGTTTTGTACAATCGCACTCGAAGCTTAATCGCCTCGCATACGTTATATCGTTCATTGTTATACGCGCATTCGCAAAAACGAATCTGCATAGCTACGGAGAACCAGTTGAGTTTAGCTCATCGAATCTTGAAATATTTATCGTGTCGTTTCAGTAGCGAATGTTCGATGGTCGTTTGGATTACAATTACCGCTTAGTATTCATTTGAGTTCGCAGCATAAGCCGATTCGAATATTACCCAGCCACTAGAGTAATGTATCCCTTGTAATTCAGATCGCCAGAAGATCAACCGAGTCTCATATCTATGCCACAGCAGGCCAGAAACAGATAAGCTGGATTTTAAAGCAGCTAAAGTTTATCCTCTGACCGATAATTTTACCCCCTTTTTTTTCTCCGCTATGAAAAACATAGTCAAGACGCGATATTGCTGCTTGTCTACGACTTTCATACATCATTCACGGCTGAACGCGACTCGGCCACCGAACAAAAAAATAAAGAAAAGAAAAGTAATTTAGCGCCAGTTTATTCGCGACTAATCATCCTCGAACGGGGAAAAAAAGCTTATACGCAAGTTTTCGATAAATTCATGAAAAAGAGAGGAAGCGAGTAAGAAAGAGTCGGAGCAAAAAAGGCAAAAGGTTATAATTTTACAAAGTTCAAAAGAAAGTTTTGAAAGGCAATGACTTCTCAGTCAGGTTCTAATTTCCTTCTACGCGCAAAGTATAAAAATTGAAGCTCGTGTCAATACGTGTCGTTTGAATGATGGATTATCTTCCTCTCCAAACGTTTACGCGCAAGCGTAGCTATTCTTATTTATTCGCCTCGAGGCCGTGGTCCGGAAAAGCGACAGGCGCACGAGTCAAATGAGCTCTCCATCGCGTCGTGCTACAACATACTGTTTCTCTTTCGGCGCGTCACAGCTATCGATCGATCGCATTTATAAATACAAAACGTCGGTATTTGCGTATTGTATAATACGCTTAATTTCAAAGATGCGTGCGCGAGCTCTGTATACGTAAGTACGAGCTGCACCGTCGCTTCATGAATTATAAAGGCTCGAGTCCTTGAGACATATATCGAGTTTACGAATTTCGTCATCCGTTTCTTTTGCGGGTTGGGCTTTGGCTGTGACCCAAGCTATGCTCCACGTCGAATCTAAATAATCCAGAGGAGCGGAAAAGAAAGGTGTACACGCGTGGCTTTGATGGAGCATTTCGAGCATCGTGTAAACATATTCGACACGAGCAGCCGCACACGATGCAAGCTTTACGCGCACGCGGACTCTCGTATACATGCATAGAGAGATAGAACGATGTTCGGGAAACGAGCTTGTTTGTAAATATATCCATTACCCATTGAATTACGCATCACTTTTGTCGTGTTCGTACTCGGTGTATAATGATAAAATTACGTCGGTTTATTTTACGAATAGCTGAGCTTTTACAATGCTTTTCGATATTCTGCCAAGTCATCTTTTAGTAATATTTGCGCTTTATATAAACAATACAATGTTGATTCAATAATTTAATATACGATGAAAAATAATGCCCCAGATGAAATTACTTCTATTTCGGTGAAATTTTACGATTGTAACAAGTACGCTGAACGCAAATTTCATGTTAAGTCTTATATTACTCGAAAAGATTTTTCCTTACATTCATTTTTTTCCATTGTTTCATTTGAAATCATATTTCAATCCGTAAAGAGAGAATATTTTTCCTATAATTTTCCAGTATACTTTATAAATTTTTTTAAACTTAAAGTTAACTAGTTTTTCGTTATGTCAATGAAGTTCAATATTATCTATACGTTACTTCAGTTATCAATAGAAAAATATTTGTAAATAAATTGATACACGGATAAAAAATATAACTAAAACCAATTTTAGCGATATCTTATTATATCGATATGATATTAATAATCATTACCCATAGAGTAATCAAAATGTGTAGCCGATATAAAGTTTCATCGAGAAAGGTTCAAAGTAAAAATATAATTAGGAGGGTATTGAACTGAAAAAACTATCATTCTTGTAACTTTTTTAAAACGCTACGTAGATGCCCGATTTTTGTTGTCTTTTTAGACATTCATGAGGCTAGTTTGAAAAATTATCAGCAGAAATTTCAGAGCTTTTGGAAATCATTTTTTTTCTCGAGTGCTTTCTTAATGAAGTTGAACGAAAAACAGCACGCATTTATTTCGTGTCAAAAATGAAATACGTTTTTACGTGTTTTCAGTAAATATGATGCAATCGGAAAAATTTTAAAATATAGTTATGGTTTTTTTGTTCGCGTCGGAGACCGCAGCTGTGTAAAAAAAAATACCGCACGCAGCATGCGTCTTCCCTCGCTCGTGCACCGTATAGGTAGCATATAACCCGATCCAAACATCTCATCAAGCTCGTCATCATCGCCGCAGCTTCACCTTATATAATATCCATAATAATATCATTTTCGATTGAAAGTGTACATAGGCAGAAGTAAAATGTTGGTGTGCGCGCCTCGCGAGCCCCGAGAGCCCGCATAGCGCGACTGTACGTGGTATATAAGGCTGTAGGCGTGTGTATGTGTGTGTGTAGCTCTGTGCGCCGGGTTAAAAGGTCGTCTTCTGGCAACAAGCGCAGTATATACGGCTGTATATATACTGCGAGAGTATCGGACCACGAAGCGAAGCCTATTAGTCGCTGTCGCGTGTATCATCATCGCTCGAGTGCTCTGATGGAAGACTCGTACACGTGTATACGTATATATACGCGATATATTACTTGTGCGGGTCGATAGAAACGCGGCTTTCAGTTTGCCTCTCTCTCTCTCTTTCGATCTGCTCCACTTGGCCGAATAAGTTCTGCCACTGCTGCACAGACTCACACACACACACACACACCCACATATATATGCAGTGTAATTTTCGCACAGCCACCCTCGCACACGTACATAATTTCGTACATGCCTATATATACATTTTACGATTCCGACGCTGCTGCAGCGCGAGAGCTTCGTGATGCGTCGCCTCGAGGCATTCGCTTTTCCCACTGTATATATACGAAAAAACCTCGTATAATCTTCAGGGCTCGGGCCGTATATATAAATGTCGAGAATTGCAACTGAAGTAGAAGAAACGCTCTGTTGTTGCGAGCTAGCAAAGCACATATGCGCGACCTACGGAAATATGCTTTTTTTCAATCGATTGACAACTGCTTCTTTTTTAGATATTTTTACTTACTACGTTGGGAATTTTTCAGTAATCAGCTGCGTGCTTTGATGCTCAAAAAAAACGTAAACACTGTGACTTTTATTTTGCGTTAACAGGCAATGTCACGTTACGCTTTAATAGTTTTTTCCGAGTCGAGTACGCGTTAGGTCGGAAATAAAGCGCAAAAAAAAAACTAGAAACGAAAAATAGGAACGAGATTGCATTTGCCGAGAAAATGATACCGAGTATAGTATATATTATTTCGCTTGGCATGAAGATGCAAGCAGCTCATGCTTGTCTGTTTTTCTCAACCTGCTGCCTGTAATATCTAAATTTTTCGTAAAAGTAGTCCATTTTTTTCTGCCACTGCTCGTCATTTTTATTCGCAAAATGTTATATTCTATTTGTTACGGCTTGGCGCGTTTATTTACGAGCGAGATTTTTCTTCCTTGCCCGCAAATATTTGGAATATAATGAAAATCGAACAATGCACGAATGATGGGTCATCCCGTACGCGTCCTTTATTTGCTGTAGTAACGATCATGCGTTATTACATCGGGCGTTGCTACAGTTCATAAAATTGTTTTTCAATTTTATTAATTCGATGAATTAAACAAGGCAACGAAACAGCCAGCGAGTGGAGCAATTATCGGGTATCGAGATAAAAAAAAAATACATAAGTCAATCGGTTAAAGCTCAACCAAGCTTAAACAACGCTCAATCGTGCCTGCTACGTGCATATAGGTACGATATATATACGTATATAAAAGCGCGCAAATTTAGACTGTGTGAATTGCGAGCTTATATACACATCCATATACACGTTGAAAACGAAATATTCAATCAAAAACGCAGTCGCGGCTTATGATAAATGAACGCCGCGAACGACAGTACGAAGAGAAAGGACGTTATTGGCAGTGCGATGCTTCGCTGACCCCGAATCGATACTACGAACCATACACACTCGGATATATATTTTTACCTTTACTCTCGGACGCGAGCGCGTCTAGGTTTGCATACATATTCCCGCGCTGCGAACAAACGAAAGATTCAAAATGTAAAATTTAATCCCCCGAGCAGTATATATACGCTGTATATCGCCGCCCATATAACTGTATATTTCGCTTGAACTTTGCAGTTTGGCCGCCGTTGATACTGGGATACAATCGTCGACGAGCGAAAGCTCGACACCGGCTTCGACAGCCCTACTTGCCACTGCAGCCGTCGATCAGCAGCAGCAGCAGCTCGGCCCGAGCGATAGCGATAAGGTCGCCTCGGCCTCTTCCGAGTACAACGATCGAGCTTGCGCCGAGAGCGTCTGCCTAATCAGCCGGGAACACTCGCTCAGGTATCAGCGACAGACTCTCGAAAGTCCAGCTTCGCTCGAGGATCTTCTCGCTACTACAGGTGAGTTCGCGCGCCCGTGAGATCCTATACGTAGAACAAAGTTCAGCGAGAGTACCAGATAAGGCTTTTATCCGAAAATGTATGCGCATCGCTGATGCGCGGCCAAATCCGATAAAAAGACGTAGAATAAGTTGAACGATGCAGCGCGTGCGAGACCTCGAGGCTTAATTTCTTCTTTTTACCCTGAAACGCAGTGGGAGTTGAGACTTCTGATCGCTTACTTGAAAACACTGACCTGAAAATCCAACGAATTGCGTCAACTTTTGTTTTTCCTCCATCTATAAAACTTTAAAACGAGAGGCGTGAAATAATTTACGTTACGTTAAAAAAATCATCGATTTTTCAACAGAAGCTAGCAGTCCTGTACCAGTAGAGGAGCTCGAAGCCGCGACTCTCGATTACTCGTCGACGCAAAGCCTCCTGAGCACTTCTCTCAAGTCTATCGGCAGTCCGAAGCGCGAAGTCGAGACCCAAACTCAGGGAGAACAAAAGTCCACGCAATACGAGCTCGAGGACTTGGCGGAGTACGTCGGCGACGCCTGGGATCGCAGCAGATCGGATTCGCGCGAGCAGCTCGAGTGTCTGCTCGACGCTCATTTCGGAAGTCCGAGGCGCGAGGCCGACACCCAGACCGAGCTCGAGTCCAAGGCCTCGCAGTGCGTCGACGAGGATCTCGCGGCCTCCGGCGAGTTCGGCCCGTTCCGACGAAGACAGGCGTCTTGCGGTAGCCCGAGAAAGGAGGCTCAGGTGCAGACTGGACAGGAGCACAAGAGCACCCAGTGCTACTTGCTGCGAAATTCCAAGGAAGGTCGAGCTCTTGACGTTGCTGGAAGGTAAGCAAATGAATGCTTGAACTTATCTTAATTCCTATCCCTTAGGAATAAAACAACAAAATTATTCAAAATTTTCTCTTATTCATTTTATCTATCGAAACACAAAATCAATTATAAAAGTTGAAAATACTGCAGGATCACAGCATCCATGAATGCAGTGCACCGTAAAACGTGACAGCTCCTATTTATAGAATTTATTTGCTTTTTCAAAAAGTATTATATAAGATCTTGGCGTTTAAAATTTTTATGTAAAAGAAATACAATTGATAAGTTCAACATTAGCCTGATACTTGTAAAAAGACTTTTCACGATGAACAAGTACTGTTGAGTTATCGTCAGTGGAGTACTAAATATGTAGCAAAGACTTTGGATCCAGATGGTACATTAATTGAAAATGAAAAATCGCTCAGAAATAGTATAAATTTCAATACTTCATATTATTACACCACTTTTCATTTTATTTATTTTCTTAGTTGGATGATTCAGTTGACTATAAAAGTTTAATGATTTGAACTAATCTTTGAATTATTTTCAAAAAGTTCACACGATACTCCAGTATCGTATAAATTACCGAGTTTTGCTATTAATATGTACTGTTGATTGACATCTTTTGTTTTTACTTTTGGTTCAATCGTACTAATTATGTATAGTGTAAACTTTAAATCTAGATGGCGCATTGATTGAATGTAGTTAATCTGCAAGCAAAGTATCTTTTGTAATACTTTATATGCTCCAACTAATTGAAATAAAAATTCAAATGAAAAGTTATGAGCAGAAACCTTTTTGACCGAAAACCCCTAACAATTCGTACTAATCATTAAATCATATTTAAATCAATTTAATTCTAAATTTGTTATAAGTCGTAAAAAATGTTTTTTGGAATCTCGGGTCTCAGAAACGAAAAAAAACCATTAACTTTCATTGCAGAGTCATCGAATGCTCGGCATCTTCGGTGGAGAGCTCATCGCCGACCGGTAGTGGATCGTCGCCACCTCGTCCGCCGAAAGGCGCAGAAGCTTCCCCGCCGTCGCCGCCCCTGATAGTTTTGGTGAAGAGCGGCGGCACCGTCGACATGACGGTCACCCATCGCGACAAGGACGGCAACGTCGTCTGGGCCAAGCACTGGGGCCCGGAGCGACTCGTCGAGATCTATCGCGATCATCAGACGAGCCTCGGACTCAGTATCGTCGGCGGAAAAGTGAGTTTTCCCATATTAGTAGCTCGTATAGTACGTTTATATACGGTGACTTTAGAGACCCATAAATCCAGCCTAGGATGTATGAAATTGATCGATGCGTACGGAGGTTATTAAGCTCTGCAAAATCAGCTTACGGAGTTGATATTGATTGTATCCCTTGAAATATGGAGAGTGTAGAATCCAATATAATGGAGTACGCCGGTGCACACTCGGAGCAAGCCATGCATAATTCATGTATATATCATTGCATAGTTGAGACTTGAGAGATGGCTATTCGGCACTACTCTCTAGTTTTGTATGCGTAGACTCTGCGCTGTGTGCATTAAACATATACATGCGCACAGACAAGCCCACTAATAAATGCATGTATATTTAGATGACTTTATTTAATGCACTCGCTATTTATTTGCAGGTTGATTTACAGGACAGCTCGAGCCATGGCCAAAATGTATCTGGAATATTCATCAAAAATGTCATTCCCAACAGTCCAGCCGGCAGAACCGGGGGTTTACAGGTAAAATTCGCCATTCTCAAGGACGTATACACGCACATACACATTTTCCGCACTCGAATCGAGTTGCATTACACGCATCGCGCGCGAAAAGAGCAAACGTAATATCGTAATTAGCGGTGAACGCCGGTGGTAGACGGGTAGCGCGTAACGCCCGTGAACTTGTTGCGAGCGACTCGCATATATACTTTCAAAATCCAATCCTTTTTTCGTGCGTTAATCTCGAGCACTGCATCGCGCATACGATACGTATTAATAGCTACGCGAGCAGCCGACTATATACGTGGCAGGTATGCGCGCGAGCCGAGATTAAAGTCATCATCGGTTCATCGGCTAATAGCTCGACGTGGCCTGGCGCAATCTCGACTGACGAGTCGGCCGATACTAGGCCAGTTATACGTATTTATAATTCGCAAAAAGAAAATATTGCGCTGCTGCCTCTCGAGAGCGGAAACGTATCCTATATCCTCGGGTGCCGAAGCTCGTCTTGCGCGCCTTGTGTAAAAGTGACGAAACAGCCGGTATACACATCGAGTGTAATTAGATTCGACGAAAGATACACATCTCGAGTTGAGATAAAAACAAAACGCATGAAAAATTGCTGCGAGCCTACACACTAAGAAGCATCCACGCTCGAGACTCGAACTAACTTTTCGTACTTTTCTGTGTCCCGCGCGAGGCCGTGTTACGCTCGCGATTCTTTTTTTTTTGTTTTTTTCCCTGTCTTTCTCGCTTCGCTCGCACCTTATCATTAGGTGCGGAAGTACACGCGCTCGGCTTTCTAAATACGCGGTTAATGGCATTTTACTCGGTATACGTGTACAGGTACTTTTTGTTTTTGATTTGGTGAAATTCAGTCGACCACTGATTGATTCGTGCGTGCCTCGTTGTACGTACGTAGGTGTGTCAGCTGACGATTAGTTGCGTAATCTTCTGATGTCTTACGCGAGTGGAAAAGCAAGAAAACTGATCCCGCGTGTGTTTTTTTTCTGATCTTTGTTCCGAGCTTCGATACCATCAATTAAAGAGTACATTTCCGAAGATCGAATGAACTCATAATACAAAGCTGGTTCATTTGAGTAGATCGATATCCCGAGCGGATAGTATTCCAACATTTTTGCGGAAAAACGAGATGCTCGTTTCGGACATTAGGATCGAGCAAAGAAAGAGTCGTATTCAAAGAAATGGAAAATAAAGATTTTTATACTCGATACAATGTAATAAACGTAACACAGATACAGGCGCAAATACAGAAATGAGTGGAGAAGATAAAAAGAAAGGGGGAAAATACGATGATTTTATTTGCAGACCGGCGACAGGATAATCGAAGTGGATGGCGTGGACTTACGAAACAGTACGCACGAGCGAGCTGTCAAAGCGATTCAAGCTGCTGGAAATCCTGTGCGCTTACTGGTTCAGTCCCTGGTGCACTTGGTGAGTATACTGCCATCAACTTATGCACAGGATGCAAGTAGAGTAGTCGCGTACTACGTCGACGAGCTCGGGGCTTCAAACTACTTTGTCTTTTGCAAAATACAAGTAACCGAGCGTGAAGCTTTTCGTTTTTTTTCCCTCCGCCGAACGAGAAAGAGCAAGAATTTCCGTCTCTTGTATGCACTGTCGGTGGATGATATTATTCCGACGGGATTATTAGCAATAGTACAAGAAAAGCAAAAGACGGCGCTGTATGCCGGGTTCGTGTTTAGAGGAGATAAAATTTTACAACAATAGCAAGCTCGGAAAGTCTGCAACGAGCATGCCCTGACGGGGCGCCAGTATACTCGGACAAAAGTTCGGGGCAAAAACTTTTCCGACTGCCGCGTGCCCGCGCTATTATTATAATACAGTCAGCGCGAGTTAAAAAGGATTTCTCGAAATGAGCGCGCATCTATATATTCATTATGGCTTTCCGTGCTTTAATCGATTTAGAGCGACTCGAGTTTTGACACGCGGGGCAGGGCGAGAAAACGAACAACGTAACGGAGCGCGTGGATTTTCCGACGAGCTGTGCAGCTCGGACGCCATCAATTTAATTGTCAAGTTTATTGCGCGAGCAAAAGCTTATGGAATGATTCCGTACTCAATTAATTTGCGCAAAACATAAAAAGCGAGCTTTTACCGCGGCGAAGCTCCGCAACGGGGGTAAAAGCTGCGCCGGCATCGTAGAGCCCAGTGAAACGATTGCCGTCGTAACTTAAATCACTCTTAGTCAATAAAAAAGGGCTGCAGGCTAGGCTCTACATACACACACACACAAACACGGACACACGTGGAGAGAACGTCGAATAATAAAAGAGACTCGAGGCATGGAAGCCGAACTTCTTACGTGCACCTATACAGCGTGTGCAGTATACATAGTAAGTTATACGAGTAAAGCTCGAGCTCTATGGAGTAGCAAGGATGAGTATAATATAGGCGCGCACTTGCGAGTAGAGAGAAAGAGGGAGAGAATAAAAGAAGGCCAATAGCGTCTGGGCATATTTTGAGCTTGCGTCGGGCGCTGTGTGCTGGGTGGTGAACAATAAACAAAGCCTCCGGACCGATCGCGCGTCTGTTCTGGCTCCAATGATTCTCGGAAAACTTTGACTATGTCTGTTTGCGTATTATATATCGGTGCGCGCGCGGTGTGAATCGGCTCGAGCTCTTTAGGTCAGTACACGTATATCGTATGGACTTTTCATCGTTCGCAGCGTCGTCATCGTCGCTGTGCACACTACAAGAACACGAGAGAAAGAGAGAGAGAGGGTGAGAGAGAGAAAAAAAGGCAAAGATACACGGTCCATCGCACGTGCCATCCTCTCGACTCTATACTCAGTGAGTGTGTAGCTGTGCGCGCGTACATAGCACGAGAGCCAGTCTATATAAGCGCTCTGTATAGCCCCCCGGTAGTGCTGCTTCTTTCTCTGCATCCAGCCGCTGCTGCTCGCTGCTGCTGCTGCAACATACTCTCAACCCATCCACCCTCGGTAGTGGAAGTAGCAGCTGCCGCCCTGCGCGCACTGCTCGCGCTGCTAGAAGTGGAGATTCGTGTACAGCAGCAGCAGCAGCAGCAGCAGCAGCAGCAGCAGCAGCAGCAGCAGCAGCAGTGGCACGAGGTGGTGGTGCGGTGGCGGTGGCGGCGGCCTCGTCGTCCGTATACTCTCTCAGCCGTTGCAGCGCACGAGTTTTCAGTTGGTAGCCGCGCGCTGCTTGCCATGCAGCGGCTCTTCGCTCGAAAATTCGTCACTTTTGTGCGTTTATTATTATACCTTATTAATCAAGCAGTATTAATCATCCACATCGAACCTACGACAGCGGAGTAACGTCGTCATGTCGTCGCGATAGTAACCTCGGGGGTAGCTTCTTGCCACGCTAGCTCGGAGGACTCGTGCGACTGTTTTTTATATGTGCTTCCGCGTGATATTTTGTAGTCACGGACAGTCAAGCGACAGAAAGCATAATGCGGTACGCTCAGTTCACATTGCCAGGCCAAAGCTCGGCTCGACTCTCTGCTTTATAAACTCGTGTTTACACATGCGGACATGGCTATATACAGTGTCTAGTGGTCTTGTGTGCTTTTGCCGTCACGCGCGCGCGGGGGGTGGGTGCATGAGCAGCAACAGCAGCAGCGGTATAGCGAAGCTCGCGGTGCGATATGCACGATATGCGACGCGACCACGTGCTCTTTTGTCCACACTCAAAGTCCCCATTGGGATCTTGATTTTAGCGAGCAAATTGCCCCGCGCGCGCGTTCCTAGTTAAGCCGCAGCAGCTTCGTCGCGCCGTACAGCTCTATTAGCCGCATCGGCGCGCCTTTTGTTTTTCTTGCCGCTCTATACACTCGACATGGAATTTTCGAGTTGTTTTAGCTGCTACTGCGCTTCGCAAGCTCAGTGCCTCGCGCATAAAATATTCATTTCACGACTTTTGCCCGTGCGTGCGTCTCTGTGTGTGTGTCCATGTAGTTTATATCGATGCGTGCGTGCGTGCGCGTGACCCAGTTTCCCTTTTCGTGAGCGTGCGCTCATAAACATTTTTTCGCACGCGGTTCGAGTCGCTGTATAGAGCTGCCGTAAGACAAACTTTAAATTTATCATGTATGCACGCGGTCGCGTATCTTTAGCGGAGCGCGCGCGAGTGAGCCGCACTGCTGCTGTTGCTGCTGCTGCTGTTCTGCTGCTCTGTCGCCGTATTAGCTCTATGGAAATTAGCGTGTATACATAAACGAACCTAATACGCTGTGCGCGAGACAGATAGCGACGAGATAACTAAAATAACAAAGTAAACGACCAACACGTATACCGTATATGATCAGCTCAGCGAGCCTGTGTATACGCGAGTTGACGAGTTTGTTACTCGATTATACATAGCCTGATTATCGGGTACATAGCAAGTGCTACGCAAACTCGTCCCAAAGAGTCTCTCTCGTTAAAATCTTCCGCCGCTGCTTTAGGGGTCAATAAGCCTCGCTATATATGCAGAGTTCGATTCAATTTTAGCGCGCTCCGACAAAAAAGCCCCGAATAAACACAGACATTTATTTTTGCGCTCGGAGCTACTTATCAACCGTTATTCCAAGTTCACCGAGAGTGCGAGTCTCGAAAGCTCGCGCGCGGCAACAATCGGAGATATCTTTTGCTACGATGCGCGCGAAAGGGAAAAACTTTCAGTCGGTCTTGACGTTATTTTCATCCTTATTATATAATTCATTGAAAACCTATAAGACTCGGACTACTCGCAGACCCATCAATAATAATTATACAACTCGAGGCGTCGCGATGTTTTTATTTCTGTATAATGCAGCCGTTCGAGTCTCCGTGCACCAGTAGATATTATATTCGTCGGGTAGCGAAAGCATCCAACTGCAAAACTTTAGTCAGCTTGTCGAGGAGCCATAGTCGTGGCGGGGTGGTTACAGGGGGCAAGAAGGAGGGGAGTAAGAAGGAAAAACTTTGTTGGAGTATTTTTTTCCTCATCTCACGAGCAAACTTCATATATATAAATGATACCTTTACATTTTTCTTTTCTCTTCTTTTCTCTCTGTCTTTCTCTCTCTCTCTTCATCTTTTGACTCAGCTTGTATATACAGAGCCGATTGAATCGTAAAGGCCATCGTATATAATTGCTAGCAGACGCGCGCGTTGAACTCCAGCGCGATCCTTGCGCACTAATTAATAAACACAATCGAGAATTTCGACGCTGGCAATTTTTTGCATTCGCGTATATAAAATGATTAATTGTCGCGATCCATTAGCATACGAGTTTGTGCCGTAGTAGTGCTCGACAAAACACGCTCCATTATGTGCACAACGCTGCTGCTGCGCTCTCCACTCGTTTACCTGCGCGTGTATATATATTTTATTCAAAACATCGTTACAGACCATTGAAAATTATTTACGTTGTCGTCGTTAATAACGTTTCAGTCCATTCAACGCGCTCTGCTCGGCAAAGCGTGTACAGTCGGAACAATTAATTCCAGGACTCGCAACAGTGTCCGCTACTGCTGCTGCTGCCGCTGCTGCCACTGCCGCCGTTGTTGTTGTTGTTACGTTCGTTCGTACTACGGGTCGAACAAGCCGTATACGTGTAACGCCCGAGCAATCGCAAATACGCGAACATAAATAAACTGGAATCATTGCTTAACTCGTTCGAATCGACGTATCCTTTTTTCTCAAATAAGTATCCAGTGCAGAGAAGATCGAAGGTCGATCTCGCGACAAGTGAAACATCGCCAAAACGACGATATTCAATTAAATAGCTATTACTCGGGGCTCGAGCGAGCAAGAAGTGCACAGCCTTTCCATCTCAATAATAATAGCAATAATAATAATAATTATAATCTGGAGCAAAAGCAGCAGCAGCAGCAGTGGCAGGAGCACGTGATGTTACTACTGCCGAGCTGCAACAGTGTGAAAATTAATTAAGCTTGTGGGAGAGAGAGAGAGAGAGAGGGTGGCAAGACTATATAGCGCGAGCTTGCGCACATACACACACATTTACGCGAGGCCAGGTATACAGCCAGCACACCTCTTGCTCTTTCTCGCCCGTAGCCCCGGCGCAGCGTGTGCTAAGCTAACTTGGCTTATATATTAATTTATGCGCCGAGTGAGGAGAAGCCTCATTATCCATATAGTAAATCATGAAAACGTTCCTTCTCTGCTCTTTGCCCCGACAGAGTCCGGATAACGAGGATGGCTCGAGAGGAGGAGCGCGTGGTCAACGCGCGTCGCCGAGCTCGTCGATCAGACGCAGACACAGTCCGTCTAACAGGTCGCCGGAACTGATACAGGTCAGTGACTTTTCAAGCTCTACATCATCTCCGTCTACTAACTCTGTATACATCTTGAATATTTTAGCCAATTTTCCTTCTACCTTTTTTTATTTTATTTATTCTTTTATTTTTATTTCAATTTTTTTTCCATACACATCTTTGAACGTCGAGTTTATCGTTCGAGTTAGCTTCGAGCCAAATTCATTATTGACGTAGAAATTTTTTGTTGAACTTTAAAATTCTGCTTGTCCGAGCGATAGAATACCTCGTCATTAGCCGAAATCCAGTCGTATTGTAAAAAAAAGGTCCGACGCGATTTTTAGCTCTAACGTAATTTGATTCGATCGCTCTCGAGAGCAGCTCGGAGGCAGTTCGCAGTTTGCTTTGTAAATTGACAAACGTTTGTTAGTCCGGCATTATTAAATATTTCATTTTATCGCCATACTCAAGTTTCCGTGCGCATCGATTGTAATGCGCTGCATTTTATCAAGCTTCGCTCTGTCGATGCACACACAGTTATTTGGAATTTGTTGAATTATTTTTTTTTCTTTTTTTTGTTCACGCGACCGGTCGTGCATATTTCCGATGCCTTCGAACGTCAAAAGAATCAAAAGAATGAATAAATAAAACCACAACGATCGTCATTTATTTTGCGCAATCGGAATCTATGAAATCTCGCGAATTTTTCCGAGCGCGACCCGGCACAAAAGCTCGTCTCGGCGCTCTCTTGTGTATCTTGAAAAATGGATCGATGCGAGCTGCATTCGGTAAATATTATTCACGGAGCACGCGAAGCAATAGACAGATGAAAGAAAGTTTTTATTTGCGAATTCATACACACACACACATACATATTTAGGAAATTCTGCAGTTGTATAGATATAAACTGTGTATAGTTGTATACATAATACAAGTGTATCGAGGCTGTCTCTCTATCTCGCGCGCCTCGTCGTTATTTTTCCGCATATATACACAACGCCTCCTCTCTCAACTTTATCTCTTCGAGTGACGCCTAACAAATACCAAAAGCTCTTTTCCTAATTGCTCTCGTTCTCTCTCTCTGTCTCTTTTTCTTTTACTCTCTTAGCTATTTCTTGCAAGAGAAAAAAAAAGAGAGAGAGAGAGAGAGAGAGCGCGAGAGCAAGAGAGAGAAAAAAAAACTTCCAGTCAGAGCTTCAAGATCATATCGCGAATACGGCCTGGACTGTTACTTTTACGGTGCTCCGTCGGTATATAGTCACGTCCGCGTGTGCAGCAGCGCACCCACGCACCTCTCTATGACTTTTTTTAATACTCGGATTGTGTGCGTGTGTGTTTCTGGCTACTCGGCGTTAAAGGTAATCTTTTGCACTCGGCTAGACATGAATATAATTCAAAAAATTAAAAGAGCTCGAGGCGGCACTCGAGTAATATCATACGTATCTCTGCTGTTAGTTCGATTGATTTTTCGCTCGGACTCGACCATTACATTAATGAGCTGGACGTTCAAATATAACCGAGAAAGCACCAAATAACGTGATTTTCTTATTATAATGTAAAGCAAACATTTGATACTTGTCCGTGTTTGTTATTCGAGCGCGAACACTGCAATTTCCAATGATTCATGACATTAGACTCTAGTTGTAATTAGAAAGTCTTTGATATACTAATTGCGAATAGTTGAATAAGTCTCGACTTGTGTGGATAACGTGGCGTATTGATTATATCGATCTCCTATCAAAAGGCTCGTAATAACTCGTTTTGTATCCCGATTGCAGGACGGAAGGTCGAAAGGCTCCGAAGGACCGTCAGATGGTGCTGGTCCCAGTGGACGAAGGTCAGTTTCATCCTTTCTGATATATACGAGCATTTCTATATTTTATGAAATTAAATTTTCTGTCCGTCGTCTTTCGTCGACGCGGTATACGTGTATCGCTGCAAAACTCGCTCGATCGTTTCCTAGATATATATAAAATTGGAAACTAATATTTTTACAACAGACGCTCGCGCGCGCGCGCGCACACACGACTAGCCGATATACTCCGAGAGATTGGAACGTTCGTCCTCGTATTATGAAAGATAAATGTTATCTTTGGCTTAAAAAGTCCATCAAAATTGTTTCTCTATGCCGAAACAATATAACGCGCGCGCGAGCCCTGAGGCCGATACTTCGATTTATAACATCGAGCCTGCTGCACATTCCTGAATGAAAATGTCAGCCTGTGTAAAGAAAGAAAATTTGTGCGAATTTCCAGGTCATCGATGAAAAAATCGATCCGCAAGAGAGCACCTTCGCCACCGGCAACCGGAGGTAAACAGTACAGCCAAGATGACGACGAGCCCAAGGCGAAAACGTCCGCGTCCGGGGGAGCCACCCCGGCCCCGGCGTCCGATAAGAAAAAATACTCATCCGGCGAAAGCTCCGAGGAGGAAGAGGAGGACACTCGAGATCTCGAGGGCAACGTCTACACGAAAAGTGGCGTTGAGGTGAGTCGACGCTTTTTTTTGACGAATATCTAACTCTCGTATGTGTGCGTAAGTGCTCGCGATGTATTCATTTTTAAAAATAGCTTCACCGCACGCATGCGACGTTCGATACACTGCGTAGCGAAGAACACGTTGTCGTTGCGAGTCGCAGAGGCAGTTGTGCTCGATTCGCCGCAAGTACACAGACTCTCAAAGCGCGAGCGAAACGGCCGATATTTCGTTCGACTTTTGTCAATAAATACGATGCAAGAAAAGAGTGCGCGAAGTGCGATGTAGTTCGTAAATGCGTCGGAATTTGTAACTACAAAGATTCTCATTCATGCATTCCTGTGGATTGTGAAAATATCGCCAGACGTTTGTGGATGTATATATATCGTAGCTGCAATAGATAAAGCTTTGAGAAATGCCGTCGGCCATTGGATGCTTCACCGTGAAAGTAATTAGGTTTTCGCAAATTGCAACAATTTTACATTGGCTTCTATGTTGCCTACAAACTCGAGCATTATATTTATCACGAGCTTTTTTCTTTCGTTTTCATACGGCGATGAAATTTTTACCGTCTAAAACTGTACACGCGGTAATTCTCATACGGTAGAGCTAATATTTTCGAGCTTCAAAGTCTTTTGAATTTTTTCTAATATACCTCGTGCACACGGGCTCTTCCTGCAAAAGAATAATAAAACGTCGTTGCGTTACGCTCTATATACTTTTTGCGCATACCGAAAGCTCTCTCGGAGTTTGTGTTAGCTTGGCAAGTTAAATTTTGCAAGCTACGTTAGCACTGATTATTAAAAGTAATATATTCTGGAAAAAGTTTTTCGACTATATATCCTTAGAAAAGTTTTTGTGCGAAAAAAAGTAGATAAGTTCAATTAATTACCCCGACAGTGGCAGCTTTGTAATACTTAGTTACTGCGGAGCAGAAAGAGAGCTGCGAGCAAAAAGGTATTGCAGCCACATCATTGCCATAATGCCACTTGAAAAGCTCAAGCAGTGCCGCGTGCGCCAAAGGTCTCTCAAAACCTACGCCATATGAATACCAATATGGGCCGCTGTGTGCTGCTCAAACAGCCACAATATGTAACAATATTTCGCTTTGGGATTTTTTCTTTTCAAGACGCGACGTATACCGCAGCGTGTAAATTAACACTTTTTGCTTTTCGCGCAGCTTTTCGTTGTTTCAACTTTTTTATTCTGCTTCTCTTTGTGGAGTTTCACCTTTTCTTCGGATTACCGTGGCGGTAGAAACCACCGCGTTGGCCGCGCTATAAGCTCGGAAAAAGAATGAGAAAGCTCCACTCGCGAATGACTATTAAAGGTTAAAATTTCAATGCGAAATGCGTCAAGTTGATCCTTGAAAATGTTCCATTTGTTTATATACGCTTTTAACAAATTGAAAGTCTCGGCGCTCCCTCGAGATTGTTTTCTGCTGAATAATTAGAGCGAAGAAGCTCTTAATTCATTGAAAACCAGTTGGATTTTCGTGCACGAAACCCGACTGCAGCGATTCCAGCCAAATTCGGACGTGCGTAACAAATTTGATCATAATTACAGACCAATCCGTATGAGTTTTATTTTTCCCAACTCGCTTTGAGGTACTGTACACGTTACAAGCGAGCGGATGGAAATAATACTCGAGTTCATTATAATTTAACGTCAATATTTTGAAGCCGAGCGCAGCAAATTAAAACGTTTGCCGAGCAGGCGCGATGGTTAAAATTACTTCGTATACGAACTGCACACGAGTACTGCGTTTCGGTTCAGTTTATCCAAAGTTACGAAACAAACATACACCCGCCGTTGATACACTACTACTACTCGCGCCGTACTAAATTATCGCACATCGTGACGCCGCATACGTTACATGCGCGTAAGTTGTAAGTGCAGCAAAAAAATGTCACAGACATAGTCCAGCGTAATTTCCCATTGACAAATTATAGTTATAAGTTAGCACGCACATCGGAAGTAATAATTTACTACAATGACTCGTGAACACGCGTAACGCAACACTTTCGAATGTCTCCGCGATACTGAGAAATTGTTTGTTTTATTCCCCGCGTTCTCTTAAATGCTTTTTAATTGCGTACCATTAAGTTTTTCCATAAGGATCGTTGTTATACAATAATTCGCTGATTTACAGATTTCTCGAAGGAGTGCCGGCAACGTTAAAAGGACCAAAGAGGAAATAGCTGCCGATCCAGAACAAGAGGACGAATTCGGCTATACAAAAAGTAAATCGATACAATATCTTCATCATTTATCTTCATGATAATCCACCATCAGAGTGACTAATGTTTTGTTGCATTTGATTAATCTAGAAAAAATACAAAAGAAATACGCGAATCTGAAAAAGCCCATTCACTTTGTGGTCTTGGAAAAAGATCGACGAGGATTAGGAATTTCTCTGGCCGGACACAAGGATCGTAATAAAATGGCCGTTTTCATCTGCGGCATCAACCCAAACGGTGTCGCGGCCAAGCAAGGAGAGCTGCAAGTAGGAGACGAACTGTTGGAGGTAAATCTTCGACGAGCAACGAAATCGTTTTTTTGTGGTCAATGCATCGAAAAAGTAACATCTGTAAAATTTCTTACTGCAGGTAAACGGAGCCGTGTTTCAAGGCAGATGTCACTTGAACGCCTCTTCGATGATCAAAGGAATGGGCGTAACGACTTACAAGATCATCGTCATACGGTGAGAATAACGTTATTCGCACGCGCGGATCGCACTTGCATTTTTCGTCGGGGGTAGATGGATGGAAATTCCATCGCACGTGTGCCGTTCATTTTTCATCTTATCGCGAGCCAGTTGCGTCGCCTCGGCAGCAGTAGCCTATGTGCGACCTTGGTCTTGTCGAACGCGCGGCTCTTTCGCCGCCTATAAGCGTGTTCTTAACCCGTGATCGTTGCACAACGAGACCGACTCGGCTGTGTGCATAACTCGAGCTCGGGATAATAACTAACACGTAGCTATGTGCGTGTGTTTTGTGCCGCTTATCTATTATATCTCGACATCGCTTGTGTAAACATTTATTACATACAAATACGCGCCGACTTGTATACATTAGAATTTGACTAATTGCCGTCTTTTGTCACTTTTTCGCATTGCTGCTCCCCCTTTTGTCGAGCGACGTTTGACTCGAAATGATTGAATTTACAGAAGGAACAACGCGATCGAGAACTGCGCCGTCAAGCAGGTCACGCAATTCCCAACTGCGCTCGCTGGAGAGGTGAGAGAGAGGCGACATCGCCTAATTACACTAGATTTCAATTTCGAGAATGGAACTCATTAAAATTTCATTATTACGAATTTGCAGGATTACAGCCATCTCAAAGGCGTCCATCCCGTGCCAATAAAGAAGGTAATTTTCGTCTTCGAGGCAATATAACGCGTACTTTCGATCCATGCACAATTCTATTACTATTGTTTTTGTTGTAAAAAAAAAAATAATAATAATAATAAGAACGTATCCACGTGCACGTTGCAAAAGTCATGAATTCTTATCGCTTTAATACTTTTTTTTTTATTTTTCACACTCAAACGCTCTCTCTTTCTGTCGCACGCAGGGCACCTACGGACTGGGAATAATGATAATCGAAGGTAAACACGCCGAAGTCGGACAGGGTATATTCGTTTCTGACATTCAAGTTGGCAGTGCGGCTGAATTAGTAAGATCGACTTTTGTATATTGCTCTTAACACGAGACTTTCACTTCTATGCCATAAAATGACAAATTTTTTTTTCTATTCCTTCCACTCTTTAGGCTGGTTTAAACGTCGGAGATATGATACTTTCCGTCAATGCCGACACCGTTATGGGAGCCACGTACGACGAGGTAATTATTGATGAACAAATTTCTGTCGATACGTCTTTCAACCGGTAATTAACAAAGCTCTCACTTTTTTTTTATTCAGGCCACTGCGCTACTGAAAAAAGCAGAGGGAATTGTCGTGCTCACAGTATGTAATCCTAATCAGAGCAAAGTTGCCGAAGAAGAAGAACGAAGGGCCAGAGGAGAAGTCGTGGAGTCGGGCAAAGGTAAGTTTAATCAGATCCTTTTCTCTCTTTCCTTTTTTTGAGAAAAATTACTTTCCAACGAGTCGCTTTCTTTCTTGCAGACGACAAGAAAAAGGACGAAAAGCCAAAAGATGAGCCACCGGGTGATCCGAAAGATTGCAAGATTAGAATGAACAAAGACACGACGATCGAATTCCCCAAAGATAAAGATAAGCCGATCGGGTTCTACGTGGTCGGAGGCACCGACACGCCATCCGTAAGTTTCGAGAAAAAAGAGAGTTGAAAATGGCTAAATTTCGATCCGAAATGTTTCGTCGCCGATGCAATGCTCTCGTTGTTTTTTTTCTGTTTCTGCGCAGAACGGAGTCTTCGTACTCGATGTACTGCCAGATGGTGCTGCTGGTAAAGACGGTCGCCTACAGCCCGGCGACCGTATCGTCGACATCAACAAGGAGCCCTTCAAAGCCATGGACTCGGAAAAAGCTTATCAGACCGTTTTGAGAATAACGCAGGGACCCGTGAGTATACATAAGCAGCTGCGCAGCACTCCGATTGTTGATGCAATGCTTTCTCTTTCGCTCCTTTATATACATACTTATGTACGAGCGTTCAATTATTTCTGCTTACAGATAATCATGATAGTTCATCGGGACGAGAAGGCAGTCGAGGAGTTCGAAGTGGAGTTGACAAAGAAATCAGGAAAAGGATCCGGTCTTTGTCTGACGGGCTACAAGAGCGGCAAAGGCGCTTACGTCTCCGAAGTGGTAAGCTTTTTCAGTTATCTTTTCGTCTTGAGAAAAATATAATTTTAATTTTTATCAAAAGAACATTAAACGATTGTTACGTCGCGAACAACGAGACCGAGTAAAAGTTCTCTGCAATAAAACGAAGCGTTCGCGACTCGATATCGTCGATACGATCCGACGCGATAACCATTTCTCCGAGAAATCCCATGATATTTATACAGTTTGGAGGAATATGAAATATAATGTTATTTCGGCTGCGAGCGAGCGCGAAATCGTTGTCGACTATAGCGTATACACGCGCACACCTCGTCGAGTGAGAAAATAGCCGCGTTCGCGCGCATTTTTTTCTTAGAATCATCAAACCTCCACAGTTACATGTACATATGGATGCAATTATCAAGTGCTCCATGGCATTAAATACTTTATTACGGTGGTCGCGGCGTCAGCTCGGCGCGCAAGGTAAACGGCATATTTTCTTGTAATATTTATGACTTTCACTCTTGGTGGTGCGCGCGTGGACAGCGCGAGAGCGTGACAATGAAAGAGTCAAAAGTCGCGCGCTCGACGCTTTGCCACACGCGAACAAGACACATCGGCGTGGTTGTATCGATTGGCAAATTGATTGATTGACAAAAATTACATTAAAAATGTCAAACGTCGTAGGTAATTGCTTTGAATTTTTAATTAGTTTATCGAAGAACGCAAACTCGACCGAATGTCAGTCGATTGTCTGGAGCGCGCGGTAATAAACTATTTCGCATTCCTTGAAATTTTCAAATGTCTCGGTAATGAGCAGTACTTAACCACATTGCTCCGAAGCACCTTGAGTAATAATCGACTGGTACGTCAACGGCCTTGTCTAGATTTTTCTTTCGCCCTGTCAGTCGATACATATATCCCGCTTATTATTTGGGCTTCCAAAATACATACCGTATAATACCGTATCGTGAATACTCGTCGTGTCATTTGGAAAATCCAAGCGTAACATGTTGCACGCTCGGAATTGCACTCGAAGGTGTATATGCTATAGATATCGGTTCGTGGGTATATACGGCTGCTGGTAACATGAAATTCCACTCGCGATTCCCGGGAGCCACGCGTGATTGTTGTATATATACGCGGCGAGTTTATATTCGCGTATCGAACACGAAGCCGAGTCGGCGTCTAATGCATAAATACAATTTCGAATTTCACACGTATAAATATATTTATTTTTGTTCACGTTTGTGCAGGTGGCAGGCGGCAGCGCAGCGGAAAGCGGCAAGATCGTGAAGGGCGACAGAATAGTCGCCGTCGGTGGGCAAGATCTGCGCGACGCACCGGTCGAGGATATCGCACTCCACGTGAAAGTCTCGAATCCGGTGCAATTGAAGCTCGCCAGATACAAGAACAAGTGACAGGTGAGTTGCTACTGTTAGTGCCAGTAAGTATTAGGCCAGTCCGAGATCGAGCCAGTTCCCACAGCGCAGCTCGAGCTATATACAAGAAGCAGTATATAAGCTGCGATTCAATGGGGAGCGATTTTTTCATTTTTTCTCCTTTCTCCGTGCGTGTTTTTCTTTTTCCGTGGCGTCGACGACACAATCCGTGAAACTCGTAGCAGCACGATAACTGCGCTCACATTTATAATAACACGGTCTCGCTGATAGGTGCGTGTGTCTTTTTGCGTAATACCTTGTGTTCTCCGCTGCACAGAAACACATACTTTGCTCGCATTGAATACACCCAAGTATACACGTGTTTGTATCGATGCAATGAAAACGTCGTCGTGTATATATTGCCGATCTATATTGATTATCTACTTTTCTTTTTCTCTTTTGCGCGCGCGCACTCCTTTCCCTCCGCGTTATTAGGAGCGCATTTTGTGTGTATAGGTACGCGTTACGTGTATACGCGCTTCTATTTATACATTATATAGCATACATGCGCGATATTACGGAGTAGTACGGCCTATTACAGAAAAGCCATATAATTCCATAAGCCGCGAGTTTTTGTCATTCGGCGCTACACACCCGTCAGCGTTTCTGCCCATATTACGTATTATATATCGCATATACGTTATCGAGCGTGTCTATATTTATAAACACGATCTCTCTCTCGTGCACGATTATGCGAGTTAAAGAAAAGACATTAGCGATGCCGAGCCGTCATTTTACATTTTGCGGCTTGTATATACTGTTATATATATTCCACCACGTGTTCTCCCTCTCGCCGAAATGTATCCATGTGTATACGTGTGCGATGCATATCGTCGATTTTTGCTTTTTCATTCCTTTGGAATGTCGTTATATAGAGAGACCACGTGCCGACGGCGAACATGTGTGTGCGTGTGCGCGAGAGAGCGCTTATTTATATTTATATATAATGCACGCGGCCGAGAGAGGAGTTACGTCAATGCCCGTAAGACTGCACATTTGAATTAATTGTTGCCACTGCAGCCGTTTTGCGGTCCAACGTAACATGTTAATTAAAATCGAGTAAATTTTGTGTATAAGGAAACTCGAGCTACCGTTTCATTTTTTTCCTTCAATGCGTGCGCTCGAGTTAATAGCCGAGACTTTATTATGAAAATTAAGCGCCTTTTAATCCATCTTTTTTAATTTTCTGCCATTCCGCTAAAACTTGTCCAAATCGAGAGATGTGTCATTATATTACCAAGAAATCACGTTCGAAAGTGAAGAAATAAAGAGTAAAAGATTAATGGGCCGACGATTGCGAGCTCGCGCGACGTCTGGCGCCATTATCTCGCCGGTGAAATTGCTGTTTTTCATCGGAAAAGTAAACCTTAAAATTGCACGAAATTAACGTACAAAAGATGCATTATAAAGTCTCGCCCACATAAATGTCCCCCTGCCTCGCGAGAGCCGCTTAAATATATAATAACAGAGCAAAAACGCCGTTGCGGTGCTCGTGCTAATGCCGCGCGGCTACCCGCAGCTGCCGACTGTCGCTCCGAGGCAAAAACCAAATAATTTTACCGAGCTCTGGTGAATCTCTTGTGCACCCACCACCCTTTTGCATATAATAATACATTGAGTGCCGCTAATGGCTTCTCGTGCAAAAAAGACATCTGATATCAACTTCGAGAGATACTTTCCGACTAAAATGGAAAACAAACACGCGCAAAACTCAACGTACAAAGGTAACCAAATTGAATCGTCGCAGAGGTTTTTAATAAGAAATTAGGAATTGGCCAGCTCGCGACCGGTCGTAATAATCCACTCGCGTGCTCCGAATTAATTTTGTACTATTCAACGAACGAGCCTTGTCGCTGCAATAAATTCTGCGCGGAGTGCAGTATATAAATTTTTTTGCATTCGAGTGCATAAACAAATATAAGTTTTCCACGCCCGAGTAGGAAAATGTCGTGCGAATTTCGTAAATAAAGATATTTTCCTGTATTGCAAGATGTATGAAGTGCTACAATATAAGAAAGCAATTCGTAGCTCGCTGTTTATTATATTGGGTACTTTTCGAAATGTTTTCGCGCGCGGCACAAACGTACAAGGCGCAGTAAACTAGCCTAGTATTTTCGCATTTATGTACGGAGAGCGGCGCATAGATTTCGTAATGGGTTTAAGTAATGAATGGAAAATACTCAATCTCGTGCACTTCGTTATAAAATGTTTGCGGTTTACACGCACGACATATGTGTATTTTCAGCGTTCAAGATAAATATTTAATTTTCGCTATTTTCACTCTTTCAAAGGCTCGACTTGGACTAGTTTCCGGAAAACTTATCATAAATGTTAATAGATAATTACTTAATCAATGTTGTTTACTCTTTATTATTGGTCATGTTTAGCGAGTGCGATACTCATAATATTTTTCTGACATGTTCACAGGGTTCTGCAGGCAGAACTACGATGAATACCCATCCCAACCTTTACGCGACTCCATCAGCTGCATAAAACCAGCAAAAGGACTCTAGTGTGATATGAAAACTACAATTTAACCTAGGATTATAAATAGTCTATAATAACAAAAAAAGGAAAAAAAATAACCATGAATAAAAAAAAAATCATAAGAAAGGTTATCAAAAAATTCAAACCAACGTCCTGTATGGGTCACTTTTGTAAAAAAATACGATACAGTAGGATGTGTACTATTATTAATTACATTAAATTCGTCGGATATCGAGAGTGAGAATAATAACACGACCTAGCAATCGTTTATGATGTACTGGATTTTCAGTCCATGCGTGCAAACGTGTAACATTAGTACTAATATGATAAACTCTACCTACTAATACGTGAAATTAATTGAAATTAATCATTTATATGTTCAACTGTTCTCATTATTACATTATATTGAACTAGTGATGAACCAAATACTGCACTCCATAGGGCAGTTATATTCAAACATAACAAAAAAGTTATTGTGTTTCAGAATGAGAAAAAGTGACTAAAACCCGATATTTTGAACATCATCCTACTCTAATGGTCTTATGTTTATAAAATTATATAATACAACTAGATATCAAATAAGTTTTCTCGATGACGCGAGTCCAAGAATGGAAAAAATTGAGAGCAAGCCAACTTTCTAATAGTGCAGAACTAGACTTTGTACCTACTTTTTTTAAAGAAGTTCTTTGGGTATTTAAAGACGTTCAAAGACATTTTTAAATCATTTCTAGTTTTATCAAAATTTAAAATAATGAATAACTTTCAATAACTAGAAAAAATAAATAATGTTAATAACAGCTCGAATTTTCTTGAATTTGGAAGTAAAAAATTAAATTTTAAATTATTGGTTTATGCTATTCTTTCTATGATCACAAAATATATCACAAGGAAAGTCTTAAAAAGCTATCATTACCCGAAGAACAATCTCTTTATCAATAAATACTCTACCAAACCAAAGAACTCATTCTTAAATTTTCATGCATCGACAACAGTTTATTGAAAAGCTTTCTGGGGACCAAATTAGTTTAAATTCCTTTAAAGTGTCAAGTTTAGAAGGCTCTCATAAATTATGATTTTGACACATGAAAATGAAGAAGTGCAAGTTTTGGATTAGAGTCCAAAAAATTATTAGAATCATTCTCTTGAGATAATTGAGATACATTTCTCACATATTGAAGATATAGATCTAAAACGTACTGAGCAATGAGACACAAACAGAAAATAATAACAAAATTTTGATAGCTCGGTTTTTTAATTTTAACAACAAACCTTCAAGGAATTAAACCATTTTTGTAAAAACGCGATTTTTTAAAATTTATACTCTCTCTATTTCACTGAGAATTATGTTTAATTAAAATCTTATTACCAGTAAATATTTTGAGGCGTGTCTCGATTTATGGTTGTAGATAAGAAAAACTGTGAATAATGTAAAACATATATCCATGTGAACATAAGTATCTCTAAAAAAATAACAAATTAAGTAAAGGTATTATTACTAGATGGTGTACATAATGTAATTTCTTGCATTTAAACGTGATATTGTTTAGGATTTTAAAAATTAATGGCAATAAACAGTTGCCAAAGTAATTTCAATCTAGAAAAAAAACTATGAAATACATTTCTATAACCAAAACAAGTGTAACATTTTCTAGATCTACATAAATTATTAATTGAAGTATAACACTCTAGATGAAATCAGTGTAGGAAAATAAATCCTAATATATTTATATTTCTAATAAAATTAGAAATACAACAAGAAAATTCGTGTCAATGTAAAAATAGTTTTTAAACGTGTTTTTTGGTCTTTTTCATTGAATATTTTTTAACTATAATATCTATGTGGCCCAGAACAAGAAACAAAGATCATTGTGAAGTTAAATAAAATTCAATGAAAAAAAAATCGCGTTTAGAAAATGTATTTTTTACTTTGGCTCCAGTATCTCCTGTTAAGAAACAAAACATGCGTTTCTTAAAATTACGTGACTGCATATTCCAGAAAAAAGTAAAACAATAATGTATATGCATTTATACTCGTCGATTAAATCAAGTCGTGTTATAATGTTAGATTAAATTATAGAAATATTCTATACAGTAGTGTAAAAGTTAAATATATAAAAAAATATCTCTAAGGTACTAATATTAATTTGCGCTAAATGTACCAACAAGTTTCGACGACAAATATTAAAAGCTGAATCGAAGATATCAGCTGCAATTTCTTATTTGGGTGTTACATGAACATTTTTAAAAATATTATTTAGCGTAAACTTCAGAGCGATAGAATTGATAGAAGATTTAATTATCGTTGTACGTTGAAAATGAAATATTTCTACTATAAATCATAGAACCCTTACATTATTATAATAGTGTGAATTGATGCCATGTATTGTTCATCAATCATGTGCATTATGTAAAAACAAACATCAGACAATGTTTAAGAAATCTGATGTAATTGTAATTAGGATACGCTGAATCGATAATCTGAAAAAAATATAAATAGTACATGTTTAAAAGAGATTTTCAAATGAAAAATTCTAACGAATGAGAACAACTTTGATAGCTATTTATTGCATCGCGTGTACATTTGAAATGTCACTAATTGATATTACATACATTTTTAAAGTATATTAAATTTATCCTATATACATACAGACATATACTACAAAAAAGCGAAAAATGAATTGTATCATAAAAATGAGGCTGATAGATAAAAATGATTAAAGACACTCTTCATCTCTTTTTTTATCGATTACATTTATTTCATATAAGAACATACCATAGTTTCTTATCATTCATTAAAACGAACAAATGATAAATTCTTGTATGAAAATATTATGAATAGTGAAAATAATATTGTATAAAAATTTGTTTCTTTAGTACAGTAAAAAAGCGAAGGAATATTTTAAGGATAAAAGTTTCACATAATATCACACCAATGAATTTTCCTATGAATGTTTAGGCAATTGAAACTTTCAAAAGAAAAAAAATAATACACCAAGATATATCTTTATATGTAAGTATACCGAACCAACAAAATCTAAAACTTCACTGCTAAGTATTTGCTGCATTATAATTGGATCAATGCGTATGCCGTCTCTGAGTTTTGCCATTAAAGATTTAAGATGTCACATTTTGTTGGTTTGTCTCAATGAATTTTAAAATACATCAAAAATTATTGCGTCTTGTGTATGCGAACAGTGAATTATAACATTACGAAAAAAGCACTTTAGTTGTTGTTGATATTCACCAATAATATAACGAAGCTAATCTTATAACATATTTATAAGTTTATGTGACATTAAATTTGTAATTGATCTATTGCCTGTTAAATTTAGATGTGAAAATCGTTTGCAAATTGTATACTGCTGTTGAAATTTGCTCAATACGATAAAATCCAATGGTTAATTATGAAATTGAAAGTTTATCTGTATTAAGTTTTTGATAATCTATGGTTGCAACAAATACAAAAAATATTGATTACAATTTTTTCACATACTTATTCCACATTTATGGTAGATACGAATCGTGGCACAGTATTTGGGATTTCATTTTAAATGTAATACATTCATTTTGCTATTCATACTGTAAAGATTTTTTCGACAGTTTATAATAAGTAGTTTATTGGCGCTAATGTAAAGTGCACATTATTATTCGAAGCTTGTAATTAGTGACCATTGTTAAAGAGGAACAGGTGGATGGCAAAGGCATTTATATAAGTTCAAATAATACAATAAAAAATTCAAAATATCACTTTCAAAACAAATCATTTGAAAAACAAAAGTGTAAGAAGTTTTCGTAGACTGTCGTGATTTTATCCTTATATGATCTAGTTAATAAAAAAAAATTGAAAGATAATTATTGGCTACCAATTATTTATTATTTAACCTGATAAATTCTTTTTTCTAATTATTTGTAAAAATGAAAATTAAATATCTACGGTAAAAGTTTTACAATGTTTTTCTTCGGCTTATATAAAACTTTTTACGTTGTGAAAGCTTTCTTACAAGTTTGATTTATTTGTATGACAGTGGAATTCGCGATGACCCTTTCTTGAACCGGTTGATAAATATATGAAAAAAGTATCCAGCTATTTACGTCAACTCACTCATAATTGACAGATCACATTAATATACTCAAGAAAGTTTTTGATAAAACGTTGAAATCAAAATCCATTTAAACTTTCAACTTTTGTTTTAAGAAGGCCAAAAATTAATCCGATACACGTGACCAGTTACCATTACAAATTTCAACTTGCTGCGGCTCTCGTGTTTGATATTATCAAAGTTCTGCTCAAACGTGTATATGCTAAACAAACATTCAAACAATCATACAGAACAACCAAAAGCAAATGAGTTTGCTCAAGATTTGTGGTATTTTTCTTTCATATATGACTTCACGGTGGTATTTTACGGTTGCGCCATTTAGAAAGGTTTGCACATGCCACAGTACCTAATAGATTCGTCGTGTAATAGATTGATGTTGAATTAATAGGACACTGGCATTGATTATGTTCCGCGGTCGGGTATTATTTCTAAAAGAGAGCTGCCTGTACTAGTGCGAAATGTGAATTTGCATTTAGTGACTCATATTGTGAAATTGGATCGGTTTTCCGATCGTTCCGAGACTTTTATAAAAAAAAACGATCTTTTTCTCATTGATTAAGTACTAAAAAATTATGAACGAACTTCTCTAGCGCGTGAGCATTAAAAAATGATAATTTTCCAATTTGGAGGCAAAAATAATCGCTGCACTTTCACTTGTCCTATATTTTTTTCATCGGCTGCATACACTTGTCAGTACAGTACACACACTCGTGCATTAGTCATACTCGGATCCAAGCGAAGCTCGCGGAGTTTCATTATAGTGCGTACATACCGTATTATACGCAGGCAATTGCGTTACACACACGATGAATTTTTGCCCCCGCTCCGCGCACGTTATTCCCGAAATAAAATTATAAAGGCAACTCGTTATTATTTTCACGTACTTGTGCGCGTACACACGGAGGATAGGTACGTATAAGCTTTTATCCCGCGCGCGCGCGAGGAGCATTTATGCACGTACTCGAGCTTCGCGAGCCGTGCTCGTTATAGTCTATATTCTGCGCCGAGTGTTGGCACGCCGCTGCAGTTCAGCTATGTCATCGT